CTCTCTCTCTCTCTCTCTCTCTCTCTCTCTCTCATGTGCCAGGTACTAACCTGTGAAGATGGCGCTGTGCTGCAGGTACCTCGACGATGAGCTGGAGCTATGGCGCTGCAGGTAAGTCTCCCTGGCCTCCACCCAATCTCTATCCCTCTCCAGTGCTACTCTAGCTCATAATAGCGCCCAGCGCTGAAGACTACTGCTAACGCTACTACTACTACTGCAGCGCTCCTCCAGAGCGCTGCTGCCAAATCCTGAAGACTACCTCCTGCCTCCTGAACTGCACGTGAAGTGCCTGGGAAGTCCCTATGAACTACCTGCAGCCTGCAGGGCAGGCCAGTCTTATATAGTACTGGCCCGTCCAGGACGCTGCTCTTGCCAATGCCAAAACGTGCCAGACCCTGGCGCTGAAGCTTAAACAAAGGTTGTCTTGAAAACAGGCCCAAAATGGCCTGTGCTAAAACCCTAGTCTGGTGCCTGAGTTTCAGGGCAGGTCGATCTTATGAGGGCCTGAAAATGGCCCTCCGTTTCAGGCTGAAAAGACTCAGGGCCTGGAGGACCCTGTTTTAGGCTGAAACGACACAGGGCCTGTAGGCCCTTGTTTTTAGGCTTTCAGGCTGAAACGACACAGGGCCTGTAGGCCCTTGTTTTCAGGCTTTCAGGCTGAAACGACCCAGGGCCTGAAAATGGCCCTCGTTTGCAGGAGCAGCATGTTGCAGGCGCAGCATGTAACACTGGGACAGGGACAAAGTATCAAGTGGGTAGAACTACAGGGACAGGGCTGAAATTGGGCACCAGAAGGACTAGGGGGAAGGCACGGATCGACAGGGGTAAAAGTAGAATTTGGCTAGTACCCAGTAGGGATTTTCCAGCAACTTGCGTAGGCCCAATTGAAGTCTGGTACACTTAGGAGGGTCTGGTAGCAGCCAAAAGACGTCATGAGTACTCAGGGCCATGTGTAGGGAAGACTTCCGGCCATGTACACACTTTGAGGTAGAAGTAGGATTGCTGACTGAAATGATGTTCCCGCCAAAAGGCAGGGACTTCTGGTAGGGCTACCTTCTTCATCCGGATAGAACGCCCAATCATTATCGCTGCATCTGGACTGAAAGCTGCCCCGAATGCAGCCCCAATGACCGGGGTGCTGTATTTCGGTGAAGACGGCACTTCACCCAAGAAGTGAATCGTACCCAGCCAGAAGGTGTCGACGACGAGTGAGCCAAGAGTATATCATTCAGGGCTGAGAGCGTTCCGCTCATTCACCCAGCAGTCATGCTGCTGCTGTGCCTACGGGAAGGAGTTGAGCGAGCTCCTGTAGGTTGAAGGTGGAGCTGGAGGGTGAGGGCTATAAGCCATTCCTGGCTATGGAGTAGCAGTGGAGAGCGGAGGGAGTAGCTCTAGGTCATGGAGGTGAGGGAGACGGTCCTCTAGCCGGGCTATGGAGATTCTGATATTTCTGCAATGTCTGAGAGAATGCCTCCCTATCTGATCTGATTTCTGAGAACTCTGTGTCTGCAACTGCTCTGCTGTGATTTGCTGTGCTTTCTAAGTATGAATGTGAGCTACCTCTTCGCCCGAATACAACATATGGCCATAATAACCATATTTGGGGTACCTTTCAGTCTAAATGCGGCAATAATGACCATACGTTGTATTCGGGAGAAGAAGGTAGGATTAACGTGTGTGTGCCGTGTGCTTTTGATTCACAGCATGCTTGTCCGCAAGTGTGTGCGTTTCCAGCTTGATTGCATGCCTTCTTGCTACCGTATGGAGGGGCGGAAGACTGTATTCACTACGCAAACACACTGGATCAGAACAAGGCAAGATGGGGATGTACAGGCGAATGGCCGGCCTGTCAGCGGCGAACTTTGTTAGACTAGAGGGGGGCGGGGGGGGCGGGGGAGAGGAAGAAGTTTAGGCACAATTGAACAGCATACAGTCACTACATTCATGGAGACATTCGACAAGGCACACACCTGAAACGATGCCTTTCCCACGCTTTACGGAACCGAATGGCTGCCAGGCCCTGGTTTCACCACCATAACACCACAAGTTCAGATGAGCAAGTGTGTAAACAGAACCCTTCTTCATCAGCAATGCCAGCAACTCTGAACAACCCCG